GTGACTGGTTTGACACATACTTATTTCTGCCTGATTTCCATGAGAGACAACAGTTGACTACCAGAGGCCAGCCTTCATACTTTATAAACTCTCCTTATTTTCTTGTGTCTCTGCATCCCCTTACTGAATGTAGCTCTCTGGCCAGCAGGCTGCCTTTTGTCAGTCAATGCCATTGACTCCTTGCAGGGTCAGAGCACCAGAAATGAAATTCCTGACCTAGAATTGTCTTCTGTTCTCAGAAAATGACTGTGCTGTTCAAAAGACTGCTTTATCTCTTGTTTTGACAGAACTAAAGTCACAGTATTCTATGTCTTGATTTGCAAAGCAAAGTTCAGCATGGCCTCTACAGAGAGATGCCTGCATGAGCACAGGAATAACACAAAACTGCACAATGTATTTATTATAAAGTGTTTCTAAACTACATAGGAAATGAAATACTGACTATGAATTAAAATGTGATTTGTGTTCTCATGCTCCTTTTCCCAGTGTTCTGATTTCAAGCAAAAAATGTGTGGTGTGAAAGCAATGCCTTTGCTTATGTGCTTCTGGAGCTCTGGTCATGCCTGGCCTGTCCACTCTGGGTTCAATCATCCCTGCTGCCTCTTTTCTCTGATACTCTGCTAAAGCTGTTCCCAAATGTGGCTGCAAAGCCAGCTTGTTGGGATGTGTAGGTGTAGTGCAAGTGAGGACTTGATCTCAGACACACTTCATGCCTATCCTAAGATACAGTACAGAGGCAGCCTAAGAATCCACCTAACTCAAAAAATGGGAATTTTCTAAAATTCTTAAATGTGTCAAAATTTTATCTCAATTCTCTTCACTATCAAAAAAAAAAAAAAAAAAGGCCTGATTTTTTTCACCATTATAAAGATAATTAAAGATGAAAAACATATTACTGTAAGTGTAACTTATATACTATCATTTTAAAAATCATGGTGCATAGAGGCCTTGATTGGATGCCATGTGCTGGGTGACCCACCCTCTGCACAGTCCTCAGTCACCTCACATCAAACAAGTACTAGACAAAGATTATGGAAGAATGTAAGGCAAGTTAAATTGTTTGCATAATTTAAGAATTTAATCTGTCCACATCTGTGTTCCAATGCTGACTGATTCTGTAGTGTTGAAACAAAACTGATTTTTGAAACAATTTATTTTGTATATGGAATAAAATACTAGAAAAATTGCCACTGAGGAGGTCAGTTAACTTTAATAATGGAAAATAATTTTTGTAAGTCAAGAAGTTCCCATGTTAAAATCACACAAAGTGTTTAAAGTCTGTAGCATATGATGACTGTACATGTTGTAGAGTTTCCATGAAACTGCTTTTAGATTAAAAATGCATAGTTACTGTCACTGCTGTTTCAGCTAGGATAAACCAAAGATCTCAAGAACTTGGGGATGGAGAGGAGGGAGGGAGGGAGGGAGGGAGGGAAGGAAGGAAGGAAGGAAGGAAGGAAGGAAGGAAGGAAGGAAGATGTCAAACTCATGACAAATGAAGTTTGCAGTAGTAGTAAGGCATCAGTCTAAAAATAGGCTAAAAGACCATGAATTAAGGTGGCAGACGGCTCTGACAGTGAATAATAAGCCTGTTATTTGAAGGCTAAGACTGAGATCCTGTCCCATAGTGAAGTTAGTGGAGCCTGGGTTTTTATTTGGGGCTAGAGAAGTGTTAATGTCCAATCCTCTAGGTAAGTTTGTGGGGTGGACATGTCACAAAGATGCTACCCTGAAATTACTGCTCTGAAATGTACAAGTGTTAGGAGTTATGCAATATATTATTTTCTTCTTAAATTTTTCTTGGTAATAGTCCTGGATGATGGTCTTCTTATGATAGTGGATCAGACTAAGAAGAAAAGTTATCCTCTGATCCAAAGAACTGAAAATGCAGTCATCCTTCCTGAAAAATCTGCAGGCAACATTCAAAGACTTTATGAGACAGTTGATCTCAGTAAACCAGTAATCTTACCAACCTGTCACCCGTGTTAGTCAGGAAGACCCTTACAGATTACTCTGAAAGAATGAAATGCAGCAGCTTTTTTGGTATCTAGTCTAGCTTCTCCCAAACACAGTCACAGCCCATAAGAAAGCATAACATTGTGTGTTTGGAAACAACAGCCCAATGATGATGAAGGTATCATCTGTCCCTTTATGACTAAAACTATGCTTAAAACAATCAACAAATTTACAAATGTGAATCAGTAAATGTACAAAGAAAGTCGATGAGAAATGCTATCAGTATAAATAAAACATTTAAAAACCACTTATATGTGATATATAACAGATTTGTTTAAATAGGTGAATATATTATTTAATAAGAAAGAGTCTTCAGTTTGAAAAGAAAGAGGAAGGTGAGTGATCTGTAACATCATTAATTTCTTGACAGAGACAAATCAGAAATTTCTATTCAAGTGTTCCTCATAACAGAAGAACTTAAAAAATTACTTTGAAGTACATACAAACTCTCAAAAGGGAAATATGCTTTAAATGATCCACAAGGAATTTGAAGATCTTACTGCCACAGAATGGCTTGGCTCCCAAAATACAAGTGAGCTCCAAAGTAATTAAATAAATAAATGGCAAAGCAATTCACCCAAGCCAATCTGAACACCATGATGCAGATGCAGCCTCCTACTCAGAAAGTCCCTAAAAGTGTGTGTAGTCAGAACTTAGGAGGCTGTACAAAAAGGAAGCATCTCTGAAAGCAGCCCTGATTATTTTTCTGATTGGCAGTTAGATAAAATCAGAGATGTAATAATAGCGGCTAATTGTCTTTTGTAGCCATCTGTTGTGCCTTGGGCAGTTTTGGGTTAAGATGTATTTTTTTTTTTTTGCCCAGGAAAAATGTAGGTGTGGTAGATGACGTCAGTAAGTGCATGGCTGTAGTGGATCATTGAGCACTTTAGATTGCCACACCTTTCATATAAAAAGGCCTTGAGGTACATAAGGTTTCAAAAACATGCAGTGATGGTTTTACAAATCCATTTTATATCTGGATTTGTATAAAACTTGGTCTTGCTAGACTGTCTAAACAGGTGCATTGCCCTGGGTAGCATCTTCATCCAGTACATGAAACAAGAATGAAGCAAGAATCGTTCCAAAGGTTACATTGATCCAGTGCTATATCATGTAATGTCCTCACTGGAGAGTGTGCTCCCATGTGCAGATATCAGGACCTGTGATGGCAGTTCTTAGTCCCCTGAAGTGTAACATCACTCAGTGAGCCCTGTATAACACAGCACACTGTTTACATTTCTTTGTCAATCAAAGGAGCATCTGTGCTGTGTAAATTATAAAATCAATTCAAGGGATGGTTTTCACATGCCTCTTAGTCTGGTGTGTCCCTTCCTACATGGATGGAAACACTTGTCAGTATCAGTGCTGCTGTATTTGCTCCTGCCAAATTGTACATCATGTACTAATGTAGAAGATTTATGCTTCCAACACAAAGGAAAATTGAACTCTCTTCCCCCTCACTTTCCCCATCCTTTCTCCTTCTTCAGTAGGATTGAAAATTCCACTTCTTTGATGTCTGCCTGATGTTTTTTAAGAAAAAAAAAAAAAAAAAAAGGTGTTAAAAGTTTGTGTAAAGATACCCCAGCTGGCTTTCTGTTGATAACCCTGGATGGTGGAAAGGGTTTAAGTTTGGCAGGAAGATCCCTGGATTTCAATGGATTTCAAAATGGTTACTTTTGTGCATCTGAGCTTTGAAAATGGCAAACTGAAAATGTTGGATTTAAGCTGGATTTCATGTTGGGTTTAAGTCCCATAATAAAAAATAGATGTCCTAGTTAATCCCACATTGTTACTTCAAAATCTCTGCCCAGATCAAGTGACTTCTGTGGGGACAGTTTAGTAACAGAAATGTTTTCATTTCCAAATAATCAATGTCTTTTAGGACTGAAAAATTTATTAGTACTGTACAACACTGTTCCTCTGCAACAGACTGCCCATAGGGAAGATGGCTCTGGTCTGTCCTATCACTGAATATATTTATGTACCTAATTATTGTTGTACATCTTGCCAAGCAGGAACTACTAGTCAGTTAAAATGCTCATTTTCACTTCGTGGTTTTACTTCCTCTGTTTTTTGTTAGACACCAATTATTACAAGTATCATAATTAGAAATAAATCCTGTTTTAAAGTTAGGGAATTAAATGAAAACTTATATTTTAAAAATATTTGTTGCAAGTTTAAAAATACTTTTTCTTTATAACAATTACAATTGTTACATCACAATTACAGTATATATCTGCAATTGTGATGTAACAAAACAGGAATATGTTTTATAATAAGAATTGACAGTATTTGGTACTGCTGAAAGAAGAAAAGTTTCCAATTTCTTGAGACTATGAAGATGTCACTAGTGGCAAGCTTGCTGATTTTATTTGTTAGAACTGAATTTTTCAAGAATAGCATTTTTGAAGTATATAGTTGTATAGAAAAACGTTTGATATTTGACTGAATTTTTTGTTGCAATAATGAAAGTTTTATAATTGTATGTGTAATTAATTATTGAATTGTCTGTTTTCTAAAAGCGTTTTCTTTCTTTGGAATTAATTTGATACAGAACAATGCATGGCCATTTTTTCTTGGTGTTTTAAAAAGACTGTTTTTAAGAAGTCCATTTGCTTGCCTAACACAACTCAGAAACATTGTGGGAAACTCTCGTTATAAATTTTGTCTAATGCATGTTTTTCTTCACCAAATAGTTGCAGCAGTAAAAATAATTGTGTTTGCCTTCTAACTACGATAGAAATATCACAGATTTTGCATTCTCCCCAATGGTCTAGACTTTACGCTCTTCTGCATTGCCTGGAGTTGTTGCTGAAGAAAAAATTGTAGCCTAATGGAGTGATAATGCTTGAGCAAAGCAACACAGATCCTTTTCTGATTTAGTGCTTGGATCAAATACTTAATGAATTAATCAATTTACTGTATAATATATATCTGAATACAATTGTTTCATGAATACTGACAAAATCTTTTTAAACTTGCAGCAAGTAGTGGCAGCAATAAATGCAGGAATCATACCTTTAGGAAACACATCTGCTCAGATCAGTCACTGGGACTTGGGAAGTTCCTTCTTCTTTGCTGGCACTGTTATTACCACCATAGGTAGGACACAGCTTATTATCTTTCTATAGTCAATGAGCTGAAACTCTTGATTTCCAGTGTATGCATATATTTGTTAATGGTAAATCTTCCAAATCTTCTGTTTTAAGTAGAGAGTTATTTTCTAGCTGCAGGGGCAGAAATAATAGCTGTCTGTAAAGTAGCCCTAGCTGAGTGATTTTGCTGTAGAAAAAATGTTTGCTGTATGTTTCTCTCAAGTAACTGGAAGAGTTTGTGGAAATATTTTCTGGGGAAGATTTGGTCAGCTGTACAGTCACAAGTGTTAAATAGGGCATGATTTAAAGCACATGTGCATTAAACCATGACTGAGATGTGTGGAATTAAAAGCCTGTGTTCTCCCATTCAATATTATTTTATCTAAATTCTGTAACAGTCACTGTCCCTCTGAGCAGGTGTAAAAAGAAACAGCATTTGGATATTTCAGTTTCTTCCCTTTGACTACAATATTGCACACATGGTATGGAGTTAAAAAAATTAATGTAGCTCATAGCTCAAAAAAAGGGTATTCACAAAGATAGACAGAAATTTGGAGATGAAATAATGAGAAAAAATGAGAGTAATATATAAGGAATTGTAACACCTTTGCAATAATTATCACTACATAATATTTATATGCATATTGTGGTGGAAGAGGATGTTCTTTTCAAGTGTTGTCTGGACATTTTTTCTTTCTTTATGTAGAAGTGCATAAATACCATATTTTTTGTGTGTTTGAGTGTAAACATGTCTATATTTATTTGTATGAATATTGTGCCTATGTGACATTTTTCCACATCTAGAGTAACTGAAACACAGGTTTAGTGAAACCAGAGAAATTCTTACGTCCTTGATTTGCAGCAAACTTACGGATTTTATAGTAGCACCTCCTCATGGTGATAAAAACACTCAAGTATTGAAAAATCTAATTAAAATTAAAGATTATAACCAAAAAAAGCAAGAACTTTGAAAGGACAGGTTTGTGACCAGTCTTATGTTATCCTCTTTGGGCAGCACTAAACTTTATGTTGTGAGCATCCCTGGTCCTATAGAAAATGCAGGATAGTTGTTTCACTTCCTAATAAGGACAAAAGTTAACATATGAAAAGTGTTCAAAGAATTAAAAGTTCAAAAATTTTTTTAAAGCAGTGGAACATTTTGTCTCACCGTCTTTTTTTCTAAGTAAAACTAAGGCTTTTCTAAATCAAAATGTTTTGTGATTTAATTTACTGACCTGATTCTACCAAGCCATGTGTAAATCCAGCTTAGAAGAGAGCAGGGATCTGCAAAGGCATCCAGACCTCTGATCCACTATTCCCAACAGGCAGGATACCCCAATATGAAATTCATTTGAAAATTAATATTTCAGGTAGTTTCTGCAGACCAGAGTTGTCATAAGTAGGTCAAACTGGGCAACACTAAATATTTGTTTCAAGTTTGATGATAGCAACTTGAGAAAAAAATGCGGAAAAAAAGTCTTCCCTAAAATATTTTGGCTTTGGAGTGGCTGGGTTTCTTTCATCATGGACCCTTTCTGGTGGGAAGCTTCCAGCCAGTTGCACTTTTGAGCTTTTCTCAGGATCCAAGGGAAGCAAGATTATATGGAAGCTGTAGTGTGATTGGTGTTGTCTTAATGCTGTGAACCACCTTGCTCCCAGGGCTTGTGGTGTGACAGAAGGTGGTGCTGTGGTGAAAAACACTTGGAAAAGTGAATTACCTGGGAAAAGGGTGGTAAGCAGAACAGCTGAGTGTGCTTTCCCTTAATCTTTGTGTTATTACATGCCAGCAAGTGATTTTGTCTTCAGAACAGTACCTTTGTAACCTTTATGAGTAACTTTTTGAAAATGAAGACATTCCTTCCAGCTAGAGGGCATATGGTAATAATAACATGATTTCTTAAGAGAGTCAAAATGTGGTTTATGAACATCTCCAGAGAGCTGCCATAGGTTTCAGACAAACACTACAGATACTCTCTGTGGACGAAGGCAGAACTGTGTAAATTCATAGAATAACTTTACAGAAATAATTTTTAAATGGGGTTTGATAAATATGAATAAAATTTGTAAATATTACATTCTTATACGTTAAGGAAGCCACAAGAAAATTATTTTTCTGTATACCTTAAGAAGTACTTGCATATGAGGGAAGGGATTACTAACATTTAGAGACAATGATAGCTTTCCAGTGTTGCAGCAGATTTTGTAGCTTTCCAAACCACTTATTACTATAATTTTACCATATCACTTAGCCCACACTCTTCCTGTTGATGTGTAAGAATCTGAGATGTTCAAATGGAATCAGTAGTCTATGAATAGAATTTCTCAAACCTTCCTTTAATGAAAGCAAAGCCTTTTCTTACTGGCATGCAAGTAGCACTTGCATCCCACAAATATTTGGTTTCTGGGGAGAGGATAATAAATAAAGCCTTTGGCATCTGCCTAAGCAATAAATAGCTGTTTTGCAGTTACTGTTGTTCTTGTATCCCAGTAGTGAACACTGACATGAAAAATATTGGCTATCTGTTTCGGTGGCTGCTGGAGCAGACTGGAACCTTCTTCTGGATCTCCTGTAGGTTTCTGAAAGGCACTCTTATGGTGCCATTAATTCTCCAGAGTTCCAAAGCCAGCTCACAGAAGCAGAGGCAACACTTCAGAAAACGTGGCTTAGTATTTATGTAACACTTTCTGAAATCTGTTATAATCCTTCATGCGACTCAATAAATGTTAGTGTGCCTAATATAAAATTAGCAAAACCAGTTTGAATATGATGTGATACTGCTACTAGATGTTTTCTAAAAAGTGGATTTAGTTGAGAGTCATAATCAAACAGTTTCACAAGGCTTTCTTTAGAACAGATCCTTGGTTTTAGCTTTGTATTTACTACTGTGCTACAGCACAGAACTTGTTTCAGGAAGGGTTATAGCTTTGGCTGGCTTAGTTAGGTGTTCTTGCTTGTGAATATGTTTCCAGAACAAATATACCTCATCTCAACAAAGAGAAGTGAAATTGCATGATTATTAGTCTGTGCATATGGAGTGGTTTCAGACAGTCTCTTAGAGGGAAAAGGGTAACAGAGGTAAATAGGAATATGAAATTATCTATGAAAAATATTGTTGCATTGTTCCTGGGATACTGTGCATGCTGCAAAGTACAAAAGAACCTCTTTTTGTCTACCTGAAAATGTCATTATCCAGTCAGTCCTGCTCCAAGACCACATGACCAAAGAAAAGAAAAAAGAAGGTTGAGGAGAAAAGAAGAAAAGTGGTAACTTAATCATAAAGCTGGAGATAATGCTGAGGAGGAAGGGAAAATAACCTTTATGCCTTTTTTTTTTCCTCTCTTTTTAGTCTGAGACCTCATTGCTGGTACTGTGCATGATTTGTAACCTCTGGTGCATTTCCTTCAATAGGTAGCTGAACTCAGAAATGGGCATACAGACACAGCCTGTACACACCCCAATTTCCCCCAGATTTATGTTTTAGGGCTGGGGAAAGTTTTATATTGGCAGCAGGGTAAAAAAGCAGACCTGTCATTTTGAAGCTTGAGACCTGTGTCTAGTAAATTGGAAAAACAAAGAAGACATGCCAAGGCCTTGAGCTCAGCAAGTTGTTTTCCCAAATGTCTGGTGTCTCAGCACATAAAAAAATGCAGCGTCCTCTGTAATACAAGAAATTGCATGACAAGAACTTCTACTAGCCTGCTATGGATCTTCATCTAAAAGACCTGCACTATTTCCTCTCTTAGTCCAGACAGCCTGTCATGATTTTTTTCAAGCACTGCAAGGTAGACATATGGGAAGAGTGTTTATTCAGCCTCCTGGAAGATGGAGTGCCTTGGATGGCAGTGGAGAGCAGGGTGGCAGTGCCAGCAGGTAGCTGTGGTTTGCCAGAGTCCATCCTTTCAAACAGAGCTCCTTTAATGCCTTAGCACTCGAGGATGCATCACAGTCCCACTGATGTCCAAATCCAACAGTTGCCAAAAACTGGGTCCAACAAATCCAAAAAGGAAGAACACATAATTTCTTCTTGTCCAGTTCCACTTTCGTTGCCACCAGCCCTTGATTTTCGAACCCAGCATCTGGTGTTCACTGGAAACTGAACCTCTTGAGAAGTTCATCATGACTAACGTCTTTAATTTAGGTTCATGAAGCTAGTTATGGGAATATGGGGATTTGGGGTCCAAAAATGTAGCAACCATTATTAAAGTGTGCAAAAGAATGTGAATATTAAAAAAAAAATAGAAAAAGAAAATAGAAAAAGAAAATAAATTTGTAAATATTTACATTTTAGGGAACAGATGTGATACTGAAGATACTGAATAATAGATTTATGTTTTTGACTAGAAATTTCAACCTGATTTGTCATTTTTAAAGCTGCAATTAGTTATATAGCTTCAAATGCAATTTCATTTTAAGGAACCGTTCCTTCTGTCATTTTCCCACTGGCTGGACAAAAGATTTGCTTGTGAAGGCAGGGTATTTTACAAAGTCTTATTACATTGCTTGTTGATTTGAAACAATAATAAAATCCTGCTGCTAAAACTGTCCTTTCTGGCACCATTCCAGTGCATTTTTGAAATACAAGGTAACAGAATAATGTGCTGACAACTAAAATATACAAAACACTTTTGATGTTACAAAAAGACAAATATTGTTCATAATGAGATGTGTTACCTATTATGTCAGATAATCATAAAGCTAAAAATGTGCAAATGACATTGAAAATTTGTTCTCCGAGTTCAGAAAAATAAGAAGCATCACATTATCTTAGAACATGTTATTTTTTTAATTTGTTTGTGCCACCAAGAAGAAACAAGGATTTTGAGGTTGAGCATAAAATCTTCATTTTACAAGACTGCAGCTTATCAGAGTGTAAATACTTGGATTCCTGTTTATGTATTTGTAAGGGAAGAGAGAAGAAGCAAGCAAAAGAAAGTGAAGTGCAAATGCTGAGGTGATTGAGGAGGGGATTGGAGAAAAACTCCTGAAATTAAAAACCACAACATACA